ATACACGCTATGAATCACAGTGATTCACACACTTTACTTACAGTGCCTACTGTTCGTTTGACTCAATTATCTCTATCTTCAATCTATCTATATCCCTTCTATTTATCTGCCTATCGTGCTGGTTTTACTCGCCAGACTTATATATTAAAAAAGATGGCGTCTCGAATGCACTCGAGCCTTCATGATCCTTCTAGAAACTCATCACGTGTTACCAGCGTCACGTGACTTCCGCTGTCGTAACACTGCCCCTTCCTTAGTATTGTTCGTCCCGAACAATAACCACTTACATTAAACCAATAGATAATTAACAATAATTTGATTAAATGTACAGAATTGACAAACACAAAATTCAAGTACAACAAAGTCTCCTAATTTTACAGGACGTATCTTCTTCCGTACTGGCCTCTGTCTCATTGGCTTCTGCTTCACGTGGGGTTCATCTGCTCCATCAGGAAATGTCCTATCATTGGTAGCAGTCACATCAGTGGTAGTAACTTCATTAACGACTTCACTGTTTTCCTTCTCAAAACCGGGTAGAGTTTCTTCTTCAACAGTGGCTTTTTCAGGTGACACGTCTTCAGTAGCGTCATTTGTTCCATTGTTCATTTCGTTCCAACTAAAAGGTTCTGGACCATGATAACACCAAAGCCTGTTGGCATACACCACCTTTGGCTTACCTCGCCGACTACATTTTATTCGGAAAGTCACGTCTGAGAGACGATTCACTATGTCATATGGGCCTTCCCATGGAGAAGACAACTTAAGAGACTCCCCTTTGGTCTTCCTGGGATTATACAACCACACTTTTTTTTCCTGGTACAAAGTTGACTTCAGTATATTTCTTATCATAACATGGCTTCATGGAATCAGCAGACGTTTCTAAGTTCGACCATACTTGATGGTGAATATCATCCATCCTTTCAGTTAACACTTTCATGAACTCTGACACATTTTCAGGCAACTCTTCATAAGGTGGGCGTCCTGTTATCAGGTCCACAGGCAACCGAAGTTCCCGACCAAGCATCAGTTTTGCTGCAGTGTATCCAGTGGCTTCATGTTCTGCTGTTCTATAGGCCATCAACAGTTGAGGGAGGAAGGCATCCCAGTCATCTTGGTGGCTATTAAAAAACTTTGCCAATTCCTCTCCCAGTGTCCAATTGTACTTTTCTACCATCCCATCAGACTGTGTATGAAGTGGCATTGTTCTGTCCTTTCGTATGCCAAACAACTTGCAGCATTCATGGAACACGGCTGATTCAAAGATACGGCCTAGATCCGAATGCAGTTCATATGGCA